TCTACCTCTCAATACAATGGAAAGAAGGAAATTTGTTGTTCCTCAGCTATGATGTGAAGATAAATTAATGGCTTCTGAAAGAAATGTAGTATAAAGCCTAATGTATAAGAATGAAGGACAAACATCAATCAATCATATCATCCAAGAAATATAATACCTTAAGAACAGGGATTCATTCTTTCTCAATGAAACGAAGAATGTTTCATTCTTTGTATGTCTGTCACTGCATCAAGCACAGTGCCTGGTCCATAGTAGGCACTTAATAAATTCTTGGTGGTTAATTGATGGATTTAAACAGATTGGACTTCAAGTCACATAGGCCGTATTTGCTCCATGACCATGTGGATTCTGCCAAGAGAGTAGTAATCAGCTTAGGGAGCAGCGACATAAGCAGAAGGGACCTGAATCTGAATCCCAGGTTTGCAACTTCTCATCAAAGTGATCTCCAAAGTCCCTTTCCTAGTTCTAAATCCAAGCACCTCTTCTAATCAAGGACCAATGTAACCTGGAGATCCTTTATAAGAGGAGAAAACAACTTTAGCTATGGAGAAGCAGCATAGTAAGCGCTCAAGAAATCCTTATTAATTGATGAATAGAAACAGTCAGAGGACATGGCTTCAAAGTTTGCTTCCGATGTGTATACCTGTGTGAAAATGGGCAGAGCACTTATCCTCTCTGGGCCTCAGTTTCCTCATTTAAAAATGAAGGTGGGGTTGAACTAAATAGATTCTGAGTTCCCTGCCAACTCTTATATCTACGATCCTAAAATATCCTCAAAATTAACAAAGGGAAGAATTTTGTTGTTGCTTAGTTGTGTCCAACTCTTCGTGAAACTGTTGGGGTTTATCTTGGCAAAATATACTGGGGTGGTTTGCCATTTCCTCCTCCAGCTTATTTTACAGATGAGGAAACTGAGGCAAACAAGGTTATGACTTGTCCAGAGTCACATAGCTAGGAAGTATCTGATGCCAGATTTGAACTCAGATCTTCCTGACTCCAGGCCCAGTGCTATATCCACTGCACCACCTAGCTGCCCATATAAAGATAGGAAACTGAGAGCTACACTCTGAAATTTAAGATTCAAGCCTGATTAAATGGATCGTGCAGAACTGCTATCTGTATGCATTTGTGAACTGGGTGTGTGTTGGGGGGAGGGAATCTCTCTTTCCCAGTGTTTGCTCATGGCTTGTACCCCTCACTGTGGGGGCGGCAGCTGTAGCGTCCCCATCTCCATCATTCCCTGCATCCCTGATCCCTGTTCTGGTGTCAGTGATGAGTCTGTAAGTCTTAGAGTCTCAGCAGCAACGCCTCAGCGCCGTGAGGCTGTCCCAGCGCTCACCTTCAATGAGAGTTCTCTGGCAGTAAACTGAACTGTCATTTCACCAGAGGCACTTAAGTCTGATAGCTGGAGTGTCACTGGAGGGGACCCCCTGTCAGCCTGTCCTCCAGCCCCAGGGCAGCGATAGGAAAAAGAGAACAGACTCATCCTGAATGGCTCCAAGGTCAATGCCGGGGGAAGAGACAGACCTAGCCCCTGATTCAGGAGCAGGAAAGCTCACCCAGACCTGCAGTGACCATCACACATCCATGGAACTCCCAGGGCCTTACACACATGATTTCAAACATCCTCACGGCTTCTAGGTCAATATTCTGATCTTTTGAGGGTACTAAGGGTTCAACTGAGACACAAGCAAGGGTTGGGTGGTGACCCTAGGTATCCCGCATCCCACATCACCTCTATCTCATGAACCCAGGAACGTGTTCAGAGCAGAAAGGCCCAGAAAGGAAATTGATCTCCTTTCTTAAATTTGAGATAGGAGGAGTCTTTCCAGGTCACTTATAGGATAGGATCCCTCATCTATGGGAGGTTCAGAATAACCTGGGGATTCTTAGTTGAACTGGAATCTCACCCTCAATATAAACTAAGCCTCAACTTCAGCCTCACCTTCTAGAGGGAAAGGGAGTCGAGGAATATATTGATATCATCAGGGATGGGAGGAGGGATAATTCCAGGCCCATATCCAAAGCCTGCCCAGTCTGCTACTATTTGTTGGAGCTAGAACTCTGATGGCATAGCCTCAGGGAGCTTGGAGTAATTATTATCATGTATTAATAATAGTATAATCAATAATTAATAACAGTATACTCCTGATAATGAAGCAATGAAGAGAACCACTGCAGATTACAAACCCAGCCCTTCTCCTCATCTCTGAAGCCTCCAAAAGATAGAGATCAGATGCTCTACATTTATAACCTATAAATCACGCCTTTATGGTCACCTCCAGCTGTGATCCCTGGGTGGGAGGCAGGGACTCCTGACTTCTACACATAACTCCCCAAATAGCTCCTTCCATTTTTCCACCAGGCTCATCATTGACTTTGATCTCCTTGAGTGGGGCAGACAAACTAGAGGTCTTGGGGGCTGGAGGGGAGGAGGTGGGGGCAGAGGCGAATGAGGAAGAGTGGGGACTGGATGTCTTTGGGACACTGGGGCCTTCCAGCTCCTCATTAGGAAACAGAGCAGCTTTTCTCTGGTGGTGGAGTTGGGGTTTGGTGCATAAAATGTCAAATTGCAGAAATTAAAAATGTAAATGCTGGCATCTAATTAACCAGTTGACAGCAGTGCACAGCTGTAAGTGACAGTGACTGATTGCCTTCTGCCAGCCTCCTCTCCCCCACCCTACCCGCCCCATCCCCACCCTTTCCCCTTCCATCCCTTGGAAAGGAAGAGGACATCAGGACAAAGTGGCTACATTTAAAGACATTGTGGTTCTTGGCCAGAACCAACCAATCAGAGGATACTCCAATATTGTGGTGGACAGAGCTCCACACCTCCTGACCCAGATTGGAAGACTTGGGCTCAAATTCTAGCTCCAATGCTTACCATCTAGGTGACCTTGGGCAAGTCACGTTAATCCCTATGGACCTCAGTTTCCTCATTTGTGAACTAGATAGTCTCCAAAATCCCTTCCAACTCTAATAATAGTCTTTGAGGTGTGTATAGTGCACATGTGAGGGACTGTCAGCTATATCTACAGAAAGGAAGGTCTGGAGAGCTGTTATGTATGTAAGGTTCAGTGTCCTGGGTACACCATGGGCCACTGAGGCTATTTGGTTACAGTGCTGATGGGAGAGAAAGGAAATAGAGAGATGGGGAGAGGAAGCAGCCTTTCCTGATGCCCCTCTCTGACTCCCCCCTCCCCCAGTTCCACTTTATTCCCTATTTGATCTACACTACCTGTGTGTATACACATATGCATGTATATACATATGCGCATACATACACATATGCACGCACACGTGTGAACATATACACATATGTGTATGTATATATACATGTGTGTATGCACATTCATACATACACACATGTGTGTATACATATATGCATGGGTGTGTATATATACATAAATACATATATGTATATATGTATGTTGCATTGTGTAGATATAGATATAGGTATAGATATAGATATGTAGAGAGAAATTATCCTCATGACAACCCTGGAGGTAGGTGCTATTATTTTCTCCATTTTACAAATGAGGAAACTGAGGCAAATAGAGGTTAAATGACGTGCCCAGGGTCACACAGCCAAGAAATATCTAAGGAAGGATTTTAACTCAGGTCTTTGTGACTATAAGTCCATTGCCTTTACCCACCGTACCACCTAGCTAGCTGCCTAACAAAAGAAAAAGGAAAAAAAAAAAAAGATAGGATTGCAGAGGAGAGCCTTGGGCAGAGGGCCTGTGTGCCTCAGTTGCAGAGCATGAGGCTTCATCTCAAGCTCATGTATTCTTGCCCTGTATTGGATATTAGTGCTTTTGAGAAGCAGCTAACTGTTACAGATCAGCGGTATCAAACTCAAATAGAAATGGATCCTGCTGCCACATATTGACTTAGAAAACCACAAATTAACATTATCTAGGTTGTATTGTATTTTTATTTATTTTGTTAAACATTCATCAAGTACATTTTAATCTGGTTCAGGCTGCTCTTTAGAGGCTACAGGTAGCCCAGGCCTTCAGTTAGACACTTCTGGATAGAGGACAGGGTAACTGACATGGAGTGAGAAAGACTCAGATTCAAATCCTGCTTCAGACACTAGCTGTGTGACACTGGGCAAGTCAGTTAACTTCTCTGTGACTCAAGTTCCTGATCTGTAAAATCAGGGCTTTGGAGTAGCTAGCCTCTAAGGTCTATGATCCTATGAAAGAGATAACCCATTCCTTTGCACAAGGCAAGGAACTAGACTTCTGTCACCAAGCTCAAAGGTCAATCAGTCAGTCAACAAGCATTTATTAAGCTCTTAGTATGTGCTGCTGGGGCAGCTAGTGGCACAGTGGATAGAGTACCAGGCCTGGAATCAGGAAGACGAATCTTCCAGAGTTCAAATCTGGCTTCAGACACTTACTAGCTGTGTGACTGTGGGCAATCCACTTAACCCTGTTTGCCTCAGTTTCCTCATCTGTAAAAATGAGCTGGAGAAGGAAATAGCAAACCATTCCAGAATCTTTGCCAAGAAAACCCCAAATGGGGTCACCAAGAGTCAAACATGACTAATAAAAATGATTGAACTCATGTGTTAGGCACTATGCTAAATGCTGAAAATACAAATATAAACAGAAAGAAAACCAATCCAGCCCTCCAGGGACTTAGATTTTAGGCGGGGAAGACAACAAATAAACAGGAACTGAAAAGGAGGGGAGAGGATGGTAGAGAAAGTCCTGTGGAAATGAGTCAGAAGTTCAGTATGGAAAAGAATGAAGACATCTTTGGCCTGGACCTCACCTTAAATGGAATGACCCAACCAATCAGACAGAGAGGTCGAAGGACCCTGAGGGCATGTCCAGTGTGAGAAGTAGTCCAGGAGTGGCATCAGCTTCTAGGATGAAGAGGTTTCTATGGTGTGTCCATGACCCTAGATAAGTGGTCCTAGTTCCCCCCACTGTCCCTTTCCATCTTTGATTCTGATTTCTCTCCTTATCTCATCCCAACCCTGGCAGATATTACTCAGACATCGGGAAGATGCCAGCCATCAGTGACCAGGACATGAACGCCTATTTAGCTGAGCAATCCCGCATGCATATGAACGAATTCAACACAATGAGTGCCCTCTCTGAGATCTTCTCCTACGTGGGCAAATACAGCGAGGAGGTAAGCCTGGGCCTTCCGAGAGGGAACAGTGGGCTGACATATCTCCACCCAAGGCCTCTCCCAAACAGAATATTCTCCCAATAGATTCCTGCCACTGCATAGATGATCCTACCACCCAAGAAATCTAGGGGTTTCTGCTGTGCTCCTGGGACTCAAGGCTTTCTCTAGCACCACCCCCAGATCCCCCCTTTATGCCTTCCAAAGCATAGCAAACATGCTATCAGTCTTTGCTACCATATATGGAAACCTCAGGATGCAAACTAGACACAGAACAGTAATCCTGAACCCAGTCTCATTACTTATTTTAGGCTCAACCCCAGTTAACAAATACATCAGGCTTTTATGATCATCTCCACTTGTCCTTCCTGGTTCTCCTTGACTTCAACACCAGTCCCAGGAAACCATTTTCTCATAGTTTTTCTGAGCACTAAAGGACGTCAAGCCATTTCTTTCTGATCTCCAAAGTAGCTCTTCCCCTTTTCCACCTTCCACTCCAGTCCCAGCTCTTTAAAGCTCCAACGACCCTGACAAGGCAGCTCTCTTGAATTCTGCCCACAAGATTTCACTGACTTAGTCTCCTCCTTTTCCTGGCCCTCAGTCCAGGATAAAGGCCTAAAGAAGGATCCTGTGACCCATCTTTCTAAACTCAGTTTTTCGAGAGTCCCAAGTTTCTTCATAATTCTGGCTCCCAAGGTCACCAGCTCATCTAAATGTCACGGACTTCATATCCATCTTTTTAGGTGAGATTGTTTTATAATACCAACATCTGCATAAGTCTTGACATAGCTAAAGCCCTATCATTTTCAGTTAATAGAGCTCCAACTAGGTTAGGGTGATTCTTAATTTACTTATAATCAGGGGCCAGAGAATTAAGTGGAGATTTTTTTTTGAGGGGTGTAGGTGGTGAATTTTGTCTCTTACTTCCAACCTTTCCACCATAATAGGCAAAGAACTCACACGCGTAAAGGAGATATCTGAGACTTTCCATGCTACTCAATCCTAACCTTGGTCTTCATAAAGCCCATCTCAGTTAATGATAATAACTTTTAAAAATAGTTATATTTATGTAAATTATGTGTTATTTCATTTAATCCTCACCACATCCATGTGCTGTTGTTATCCCCATTTTAGAGATGAGGAAACTGTTGCTGAAAGAGAATGACTTGCCCAGCACCACTCAACCAATACCTGTCCAAGGCAGGATTTGAGTTCAGGTCTTCCTGACTCCATGTCTGTCCAATGCTCTATTCACTATGACCCTCACCTGGGTCCCATTCTCTTCTCAGTGTCTGGGGTTTGGAGTGAATAGGTGAGACATAAGAAGAAACATATTAAAAATGAAAGTGTTCATCTTCCTATTTTTTTTTAAAGGCTTAATTTTCAATCTCTTCCCAGTGGAGAGCCTTAGATGAGCTGGAGCCAGCCCGGAAGTTTTCCATTGAAGTTTTGTATCAAGCCATGCCCTTTCTTAGACATATCTAGCCAAAGGGCATTTTTAAGCACCTATGTGCTAGGCACTGTTCTAAGCAATGGAGATGCAAAGCAAGAAACAATAAACTACATAGGGGCAGCTAGGTGGTGCAGTAGATAAAGCATCAGCCCTGGAGTCAAGAGGGACCTGAGTTCAAATCTGCCCTCAGACACTTGACACTAGCTGTGTGATCCTAGGCAAGTCACTTAACCCCAATTGCCTCACCAAAAACAAAGAAACAGTAAATGAAGTAATATTATTCTCTTTCACATCTCTGTTCTCTTGATTGTTTTTTCCTCTTTCACTTAACTGTCTTATTTTCAATTTCCCTTCACTGGGCTCCCCAACGTAAAGGAAAGTATTGGAATGACACCCAGAAGGCCTCAGACCTACCACCTACTAATCATGTGAACTCGAGCAAGTCATTTATTTTTTTGGAGACTGTTTTGTCACCTGTGAAATGGGTATAATACTGGCACTGCAGATGTAATTGTGAGGGAACCACTGAAAACAGTCAAACCTTACAAACATTTTTCTTCTCCCACTTCCCTTCCCAATTCTCAGGGATTCCCACCCATAAGAACCCTTTCTATTCTCAAAGTTTCTAGACCAGGGGTGGGAAACCTGTGGGCTTCGAGGCTACATATGTCCTTGAGGTCACAGGTTCCCCACTGGCCTAGATTCTGTGACCAGGATTTGCCATGAAGTAGATGCTGTCTTCTCCATCTTCCAGGTTCCCTTCTGGACCCTATAGCCACTCAACTCAAGACTCAAAAACCATATTTGTTTTCAACCTTGTCTGACTGTGGGCAAGTAAGCCCTTCTCTAGGCCTCAGTTTTCTCACATGCGAAAAGGAGTAAGGGGTCTGGGCAAGCCTGGAGCTCCCTCCAGTCTTGACATCCTATGAGCCTTTGTTCTGAGGCACGGTGACAGAGGTGTCTGGGTGGAGGCCAGCATCAAATACTCAGTCTTTTCTCTAGCCCATTTCCTCACAGACCAGTCTCAGGCTTGACGGGGCAGCTGAGAGCACCCTGGCAGGACCAGTCCTGGGCAGAATGACCGAGTCATACATTGTTATCCGGCACCTTCAGCCTCCCCTTTCCCACCCTCAGGAGCAACCCCTGTACCCCAGCTCTCCTTCAGCTCATTCCCCCTCTCCATCCTCCAATTCAAATCTGCCCTTGAGAAAAGAACTGATGAACCGAGTTCTCTGTGACATAGAAAACTTACCCTGCCTTCGTGCCCGGGGTGGTCACTTTTCAACACGAGACAAAGCTCAAGGCAAAGTTATGACTCTGATAGTGGAGTTTCAGGCACCAACAAGTTAGTGAGGTGGACATTTTGGAGGGCTTGGAGACCTTGTTAGCATCACACAGACAGCCATGTGGTCTGCCTTCAATGAGCCTGGCTCTTAGGTTATCTCATTTGATCTTCTTGCATTTAAATCAAAGATTTAAAGTTGGAAAGGATATTGGAGGCTAACTGAATCTAGACCCCCCACTTTTTTGCAAGGCAGTTGGGGTTAAGTGATTTGCCTAGGGTCACACAGCTAGTAAGAGTGTCAGGTGTCTTATCTGAGACTGAATTTGAACTCAGATCCTCCTGACTCCAGGGCCAGTGCTCTATCCACTGCACCACCAGCTGCCCCTTAGACCCCTCATTTTACAGAAGAGGAAACTGAGGCACAGAGAGACCCAGGTTCAGGCAGCTTATAAGTGTCTGAGGTGAGATTTGAACTCAGGTTCTCCTGACTCCAAGTCCAGTGCCGTATCTACTATGATACAGTGCCTCACAGGGATAGTGCAAGTCTTCTTTTCCCTATTATACAGATGAGATCCCTGAGACTCAGACAGGTTATTTGACTTGCCCAAAGTCACACAGCTACCATGGGGCAGAGCCAGGGTTCAAACCAGGCTGGTGGACAGCGCTCTTTTCATCATAGTACAGCTTCTCTCAGCAAAGGTACAAAGCAAAAGTCTGGGGTAGGGGGCATCCCAGGGAATGCTGCCTGTCCCTGAATCTCCTTCAAAAATGGTCCTAGGGAAGTGGGCCAGTCTGTTGCCAAAACTACTGAAGCCACACAGCACCAGTTGGTTTTAATATAGCTTTTCTCTACTGTTTACGGTCCCTTGTATACACTCAGATCACTCACCAGTCTCCATGTGTCTTGGTGCGTGCTCCCACATTTTGCATTCACATATTCACACACACAAACACACACATATTCACCTGCATGGTATACAGACATCTATGTATACCAGAATATATCCCCATACCTCCCTTCTGCAAACCCCCTCACCCACAAGCCCCGTACCAGTAATAGAGTTTGCTCACATATCCTGATATGCTGCATGGGCATGTATACACAGACGCACACATGGATGGACGTGTATGTTCTCAACCCTTGGGTATATGTCTACATGCACTCTGGGTATATGAGTCTATGTCTATATGCGTTGCCTATGACAATACCCCCCAGCATACCAAGGTGCACACTGGCAGGTAACCCATCTCCTTTGTCCCTTTTCTATAGATCCTCGGACCCCTGGACCATGATGACCAGTGTGGGAAGCAGAAACTAGCCTACAAACTAGAACAAGTCATAACCCTCATGAGCATAGACAGCTGAGAACTGTCCTTCCGAGACTCCCTTGGAGGGGGGACATACCAAGCCGTGCCTCAGACTAAATCATCATCTTTACCAAGTGCAAGTTCCGACTGGCTATAAGCAGCATCACCTGAGCAGCGCTCTCTCTCTCTCTCTCTCTCTCTCTCTCTCTCTCTCTCTCTCTCTCTCTCTCTCTCTCTCTCTCTCTCTCTCTCTCCCTCTCTCTCTCTCTT